AAGAAATAAACCCACCCTTGTCTTTCCTCCTCTATTGCAGGGAAAAACCCACTTCCCTCTCTTCTCCTGTTGGGGAGGGGCATTTCCACCCCTGTACCCTTCTTTAGTTCTTATGGCTGCTCTAGTAATAATAAAATTGGCATAAACTAGGTTAACAGGAGAAAAACCCATTTAACATGCACACAGGAGAATCACAGTATGATGCTCAGTTCATAAAATGAGGCTCAAAAATGATCAGCCTGGTTACATTTTACGTTATTTGGACAAAGAAACAACTGTGTGGGAAATTGACAAAACAAAAAAAAGTTCAGTGCTAAAGAGGAGTCTGAGCCAGTTTTGTGCACTCTTTTAAGAGTGGCACCATAACTTCAAGGCCACCGTAATCAAAACGGTCCTGGCATAAGAACAGACACACAGGACAATGGAACAGAATAAAGAGCCCCATCGCTTCTCGGCCTTTTGGCCAAGATCAATTGCAGAGTAAAGAGCCCAGAAATAAACCCATGTCTCTATGGTCAAGTAATATTTGACAAAGAGGGGCAGATGCATAAAATGGAGTAAAATTAGCCTCTTCAATAAATGGCATGGGGAGAAGTGGGCAGGTACCTGCAAAAAAAAAGAAACTGGACCACCAACTTATACTATACACCAGAATAAACTCAGACTTAAACATAAGTTGGGATAACACAAAAATCCTAGTGGAGAAACATAGGCAGTAAGCTTTCAGATATTTCACATAGCAACATTTTTGCCAATGTATCTCCTAAGGTAGGGAAATAAAGGGAAAAATAAACAAATGGGACTACATCAAATTAAAAACCTTCTGCATGGCTATAAGAAACCATCATCAAAATGAAAAGGGAACCAACTGTATAGGAGAACATACTTGCCAATGATACATTGGATAAGGGTTTAATCTACCAAATCTATAAAGAACTCACATGACTCAACACCAGGAAGACAAAGAATCCAATTAAAAAATGGGCAAAGAACCTGAATAGACACTTCTCCAGGCAAACATACTGAGGGCCCAGAGACATATGAAAGGATGTTCAACGTCACTAGCCATCAGACAGATGCAAATTAAAACCACAATGAGATATCGTTTTGCACCTGCCAAAATGGCCATCATTAATAAGTTGATGAAGAGCAAGTACTGTCGAGGATGCAGAGAAAAGAGAAAACTAGTGCACTGTTGGTGGGAACACAGACTGTAGAAAACAGTATGGAATTTCCTCAAAATTAAAAATGAATCTGCCTTTTGACCCAGCGATTCCACTGATGGGAATATATCCTAAGAATCACAAAACACCAATTCAAAAGAATTTTTTCACTCCTATGTTCATAACAGCACTATTTACAATAGCCAAGATTTGGAAACAGCCTAATGGCTCATCAGTAAATGAGTGGATCAAAAAACTGTGGTACATTTACACAATGGAATACTATGCAGCGGAAAGAAAGAAGGAATTCCTGCCTTTTGTGACAGCATGATTGGAACGGAAAATTATTATGCTAAGTGAAGTAAGTCAATTGGTGAAAGACAAATATCATATGAGCCCACCTATAAGAAGATCTAATGAACAAAATAAACTACTGAAAAAAATAGAACCAGAAGAATGGAATCAGGCAATAGACTGACAGCTGTAAGTGGAGAGTGGGATTATTGTGACTAACTGAAAGGAGGTGAAGAAATTAGCCAAAGAACATACTTGAAGGACCCATGGACATGGATGATGGTGTGGGGACTATGTAAATGGGAGATGGGCTGGGTGGAGGGGTGTGAAGGGAGAAAAATGAGTCATCTGTAATAGCATAAAAACTAAAACATCAAAAATGAAAAAATATATAAAGAAAGAAATTTAAATAAATCAATAAATACAGATCCTGGGGCCCCAGCACAGACTCACTGAATCAGATTCTGAAGATAAAGGGCCTGGAATCTGAATTTACAACAAGCTCTGAAAACCCGAATCCATGAAGTTTGAGAACCACTGGACCAGACAGCCCCTGAGGTCTCTTCCCCAAAGAGGAAAAAAAAGAATAGCACCATATTATTTTATTTCAACCCTCAAACAAGATAAAGATGTGAGAACTTCTGATGCTGACTTCAACTGAAGATAGAGGTGTAGGTAGACACACTTCACCTCCTTGCACAACCACAGAAGAATTTCAGCTAACCTCCAAACAAATAACACCCAGAACTACCAGAAAAATGGAACTGTATGGAAGTCTGAAAACCAAGGATGTAAAGAAACTAAATTCATCCAGATGGGTAGGAGGGGTGGAGACTCAGAGACAGGTCAGAGAGGCAAGGAGATGCGGGGTGGCACAGGAAGGTGGCAGTGGTGGAAAGGGTGGTCCCACATTCATATGTTGGATAAAAAAATCAGGAGAGATATCAGGGAGAAAGAGATCCCAGCCCCAGGCCAGACTGCATAGCCCAGGGTTCCAACACCAGGAAGATAAAGCCCCATAACTTCTGGCTGTAAAAACCAGTGGAAGAGTTTGGAAGAAACTGCCAGTCCCTCAGGAGAATCTGTCTAAAGGGCCCCTAGGGACTTAGAATGTACACAAACCACCCACTCTGGCATTCACCACCAGGGCAAGAGCTAGAAGGGTGCCGGTCACATACAGCAAGTGAGTGAAGTGATTGGAAAAAGGATGTGTGCCTGGCAAACCTCCAGAAGACAGGCAGCGGTATTGTCCCTTCTCCAAACCCTCCCCCCACACAGAGGCACAAAGTGATGAGGCAGATTACCCCTCCCTGGCAAATACCCAAGGCTCCACCCCATACAACTTAACAGGTGCCCTAGGACAGGGTATCAAAGCAGCTCTAACTAATATACAGAAACAAACATAAAGAGGGTGTCAAATTGAGGAGACAAACAAATACAGCTCAAATGAAAGAACAGAACAAAATCCCAGAAAAAGAATTAAACAGATAGCCAAACCTATCAGATGCAGAGTTCAAAACACTGGTGATCAGGATGCTCAGAGAACTCACTAAGTATGGCAACAACATAAAGGAAGAAATGAAATTACACTAAGTGAAATAACAGTGAAGAGAACAAAGCTGAGATTCAAATCAATAATTTGGAACATAAGGAAGAAATAAACAGTCAACCAGAACAGAAAGAAGAAACAAGAATCCAAAAAAACGAGGAAAGTATAAGAAGATTGTAGGACATCTCCAAAAGTGCCAATATCCAAATCACAGGAGTACCAGAAGAAGAAAAGGAAGAGTAAAAAATTGAAAACTTATTTGAAAAAATAACAAAAGAAAACTTCCCTCATTTGGTGAAGGAAATAGACATATAAGTCCAGGAAGCACAGAGAGTACCAAACAAGTTGGACCCAAAGAGGACAACACCAAGACACATCATAATTAAAATGCCAAAAGTCAATGATAAAGAGAATCTTAAAAGCAGCAAAAGAAAAGCAGATAGTAACCTACAAAGAAGTTCTCATAAGACTTCCAGCTGATTTCTCAAAAGAAACTTTGCAGGCAAGCAGGGACTGGCAAGAAGTATTCAAAGTGGTGAGATGCAAGGATCCACAACCTAGATTACTCTATCCAGCAAAGCTATCATTTAGAATGGAAGGGCAGCTAAGGTGGTTCCCAGACAAGGTAAAGCTAAAGGAGTTCATCATCACCAAGCCATTATTACTTGAAATGTTAAAGGGATTTATTTAAGAAAAAGAAACATACCTTTTCTTCTTTTGAAAACTATGAACATTAAGATGACAACAAACTCACAACTATCAACAACTGAGTCTAAAAAATAAACAAACTAAGCAAACAACCAGAACAGGAACAGAATCATAGATATGGAAATCATTTGGAGGGTTATCAGCTGAGAGGGGGAAGGGGAAGAATGGGGAAAAAGTTGCAGGGATAATTTGCAGCATAATTTGTAGGTACAAAATAGACAGGGGTGTTAATAATAGTATAGGAAATGGAGAAGCCAAAGAACTTATATGTATGACCCATGGACATGAAGTAAGGCCGGGAATTGCTGGAGGGAAGGGGGTATGAGGTGGAGGGAGGCAAAGAAGGAAAAATTGGGACAAATGTAATTGCATAATCCATAAAACATACTTTAAAAAACTTCTAATGCTGAACCATGCAAGTAATAATACAGGAACAGATAAAATATTAGCAACAAAACACAGTCATTTAAATGTACCTCACATTTCCCAGCAGTACTAGCAAGTATTTCTGGCCAATTGCTTCTATCAACAGGGGTCTGAATGAACCCCCTGATCCTAAAAAAAGAACCACATTTTCTCCCTGACAGTTTACACCAAGTCCTTACACACCACATGGCTACACTCAACAGATTTTTGTAAACCTCATTTTAAAATATGTAACAAGAGACTGTGTGTGATCCCCCCCAAAAATGAAAAACAAAAAAAGAGTGTGGTAGAAAAGTAAACCCTGATGTTTCCAGTAAAGCATCAGGGAATCACCACTGGCTGGGCCCATTATTTTAGCAGTTTAAAGAAGTTTTGCCCTGGCTGGTATAGCTCAGTGGATTGAGCGTAGGCCTGCAAACCACACGATCACGGTTTGATTCCCAGTCAGGGCACATGCCTGGATTGCAGGCCAGTTCCCAGTGGGGAACTCACGGGGACTCATGAGAGGCAATCATACCTTGATGTTTCTCTCCTTCTCTCCTTCCCTTCCTCTCTAAAGATAAATAAATAAAATCTTTTTAAAAAAGTGTAACTCTAGAAAGCAATAATGATATCTATATGCAAAATAATACCCTGGAATATGAAAATCGGTCTTGTTTCTCACTATAAATAAATAAATAATTGAATTAAAAAATTAAAACAAAAAAAAGTTTTGATTTACATTATTCAGCAGACACAATATTCAGAAACTCGAGCCTTCAAGTTAAAAGTTTAAAAGTCAATCCCTTCCCTTTTTTTTGGTAAATGTTTTATATAAAATATGAAATCAAATTCCACTTTATTTAAAAAATTGAATATCTTTAATAGTAAAAAGTATGTATGTTTGTATTGCTCTTTTTAAAAAGACACTTAATAACAAGACTTGAGAAGACTGGATTTAACCGCCCAGCCCCCACCCTGCCGCTGTCCACCTGGCACAGAGACACTAAGGCAAAGGCTCCTGGAGAGGCACGTCCACCTGGAGGTGGGCTGCGGGCTCCAGGGCAGCCCACTCCACTCCTGGCAGGGTCCACAGAATGGTTCTCCCCCATGTTCACTGAGCCATCCTGCATCCTGAAAAAAACTTTCTCAGCCATATTGATGAATAGGCCTGTGTCCACCACTCCTGGGGTCATTTTGATAGCTGGGTTCACTTCACTCCATTTGTGCACAGGGTCAAACTCCCAGGCAGGATAAAACTCCCGTTATACATCCTGACACACCAAAGTTGCAGGTTCCATGCCCGGTCAGGGCACATACAAGAATCAACCACATCCCCAAACTTCTGAATCACAGCTCTGCTCACTGGGTTGTAAGCCATGGGGATGACCTCAGTGGGGATTCCCTTGTGCCACTGCTCCCCAGGGTTCTTTGACCCTTTCCTGAAATCAGCAATCATGATGAGGTGAGTGGAAGAGCCCACCACAATCTTCTGGGTCAGGCAGCCTCCACCACCCCTGATGACACTGAGACCAGCACCTACAGCACTTTGTCAGCACCATCCATGACAAGGTCAAACTCGGGGTGTCTGCTCAGGTCACTGAGGGTTACGCCACAGTGCAGCATGAGCTGACAGGCCTGGAAGGAAGTGTGAATACGGACGAGGTTCAGCTTCCCTTGTTTCAGTCTTTCAGCAATTCGCTGCACAGCACGGAAAATTGTAGAATCACTTCCAGTTCCCAGCACTTGGTTATTCCTCACGTGATTCTCCACCACAGCGCAGCCCACAAAGTTCTTGGCTCCATGGCCTTGGATGTCGTTGAGGGGCCAGAAAGACAATGTTGGCCTCGCCACCATTGGTGCTTGTTCAGCTCACACCACTGGGAATCCCAGACTGCCAGGCTTGTGTATCCATCAATGCGGAATTTAAACAAAGCGGTAACTTAGAAAAGAGGCAATCAGATTGGATTATACTAATTTCTTGGCCCTGAGTTAATTTTTATAGTAAGGAGTGTCTTCCAGGTTCCAGAAGGACAGCTTTCACAGGGGAGATTTGTCCTTATCAACATGAAAGGACTGTTGGGGTCGAGAACAGAAGTCTGTTTGACAACTGAGACATTCCCCCTACCCCGCCTCCCCCGGTCCCATGAACAAATTGGTGAAGAACGGAATAGCTAGACATTTGAGAAACGAGGTATGACTGTTTCCTGCTTTCAAGGAGATTGAGAGGCTCAAGCGTCCTTTGGCACCCGCTGCCAGTCAAGTAACTTCAGTTCAAAGCGATCAGTATGCCACTGTGGGACGTGTGGGATATTTGTCTTGAGCCCTGACACTCCTTTACTTGACACAGAACATTTCACTTGAACACTTCTGGTATTTCCCCCTACAAACAAGCTATTCTCTGTGACACCAGCTGGGTGTCATCATACAATTTGACTCAATTCCAAAATTGTCAACCTGGAGATAACATGAGATCCCACAGGGTAGGGGATCCCCACAAGGCTGTTCCCCATTCGGGTGCCAATCACAAGAAGGAGACCCCCAGGTTGCCCGCAACTTCTGTCTGCCTTGGCTACTTATTGGAGGTTCCCATGAGCTCCTCTGCCTGGTATTCAATTAATTTGCTAGAAAGAATCACAGAACTTAGGGAAACACTTACGTTTCTCAGTCTTTAAAAGGATCTAGGGTCCACCCGACTAGTATGGATCAGTGGGTTGGGAGTCCTCCTGCCAATCGAAAGGTAGCCTGTTGGATTTCCACTCAGGGCACATGCCTGGGTTGTGGGTATAGTCCCCATTTGGGGGTGTGCAAGAGGCAACCAGTTGATGTTTCTTTCTTGCATTGTTGTTTCTCTCCTCTTTCTCCCTCCCTTCCCCTCTATCTAAAAATAAATAAATAGAAATCTTTTTTAAAAAAGGACACAGGGCCCCTAGTACAGGAGCTTGTCACTGTGGAGCTGGGGTGCATCATTTTTCTGATGTGAACTCAAGGGCTTCACTACTTGGGGTATTCTATTCAAGCACAAAGTGTAGTTATTATAATGTAGTTTTTACTTGCAGAAAAAAAAATAAAAAAGACAGAGAGAGGGCATCCGTATCCTAAGCTCTTTCTCCTCAAAGGGAGGCTTAGTCATTGCTCATCTACATTATTTGGCCAATTACAGGTTGATTCCTTCTTTGCAGCCAGCTAGTCTTACTGTGTTGGGTTCCTGTCAAGCTCATCCTCTTTATAGCTGGTCTGCAAAACACTGTGCTACATTTTAATTTTTCAAGAATACTATTTAGTAGGAATGGACAAATTGGAGAGCCTTGTCCTATCTAACAGATGTGTTAGCCTACCTGGAAGCTTTCTGAACCCTGTGCTACTGGGATTTTTATAACGGCTTCCTCACATAGGCATAATCAACTATTATATTAATCCACATCCAGCTGCTTCCCTGCCTGGAGAAGTAGGGGGTTGGGCAGAGCTGGAAATCCCGAGCTTGTAATTATGGCTTGGTCTTTGTGGTGACCAGCCCCCACCCAGGAGCCGACCAAGAGTCACCTCATTAGAACAAAAGATGCTCCTACTGCTCTTATCGCTTAGGAATCTGCAAGGGTTTGGGGTGTCCTGTGCTAGGAACCAGGGGCAGAGACCAGGGTGTGTGCGTGCGTGTATGTGTGTGTGTGTGTGTGTGTGTGTGTGTGATTTTTCTCCTTTTATTTCAGGAAGAGAGAGGGAGAAAAAAAACAAATGAACACCTTCCCACAGTCTCACCCCTGGGGGATCACCATTATTAACAGTTTGTGGTATATACTTTCACAGATTTAGACCTCCATAAAATACATGCTTTGCATATAAAAATTCTAAACACATTACATTTTCTGTAAACTTTTTGCAATCAATAATAAATAGTTCTTTCTGTCACCTACAGGAAGAACTTTTTAATAGTTTATTTAGGAGCATTATCCTTTATTTGGCCAATCCCCCATCAGTGTAAATTTGCTTCTAGTATTGGGGTCTGTACCTGAGGGTTCTGCTTTTCATCTATAGAAGGGATAGGACAATCCCAACGTCTATCGAGGGAAATCACAAACCAGTATTTGGAAAACTGCTGTCCCAGGCCGCACCAGACCACCCTCAAAATCCCCCTCACCCCTGCAGTTGCTCCAGGATATACAGGCCAGGCCTGCTAGAGTAATGCTGAGCTTGGCTGCTGTCCATGCTTCCGAGTTCTGGGTAACTGCAGTGAGCATTCTCAGTGCACTTGGGTTGGACCGAGGGAAATGGTCACCCTCCCACAGGTGAAGAATGTCGTCCCGTGTCACTCCCTATCAAGCAAATGGCTGCTAAACTATCCTTTACCCAATTAACTTCCCTTCAATTTATCTGAAACTGAAATGGTTCCCTGGGGTTTCCTCTGGTTTTTCCAGTAGTCTCAGTTCTCTTACTAACTAACATCTGTGGGGCCGGCCCCAAGCCTCTAGGACTCTTAGCTTCTCCCAAATGAAACAAAATAATCTTTCATGTTTTCTACCTGCAGCGTACGGAGAGAGTATATTGCTATTTGTATGTTAACCTGACAGATTATTTCCTGAGGTTTCATGTGCCAAATGCCAAAACAAGTTTTGTGGGACGTTCTGTCATATATCCATTGCTATTGCTCAAGCCTTTTGATTACCATCCCAAGTGTATCTAATTTTTCTGTGCTCTGCCAATGAACTACTGGGTATGTGTGGTGAGGGTGGAGAGTGCCCCCATGCACATAGTTTGTTAGGGCAGGGAGTTTAGGTTGCCAGCAGGAGGGGAAATAGTAAACCCTGGCAGGATAGCTCAGTTGGTTAGAGTGTCCTCTTGATACACCAAGGTTGCAGGTTCAATCCTTGGTCACAGCACATACAAGAATCAACCCATGGATGCATAAATAAGTAGAACACCAAAGTGATATTTTTCTCTCCCTAAAAACCAATCAATAAATAAAACAAGAAAAGGAAAAGAGAGAAACAGTGAAAGGCTATCAGGCAGATCCATGACGGGCACGGAGTGGGACTGGGGTGCTCAGAATAATAACACACAGCGACCTAGTGTGAAAGGACCTGGAAAGCTCAACTGGTGTTCCTGTGTCAAGAGTGCAAAACACGGACACATATTTCGTATCCGCAGTGTGTGGATGCCTAGGCCACTGCCCTATCCTTTTATCACCTTCTTAATAAAAGCACTTCTGAAGGCCCTGGCCGGTGTGTCTCCGCAGATTGAGTACCAGCCTGCGAACCAAAGGAATACCAAATCGATTCCCAGTCCAGGCACATGCCTGGGTTGGGGGCTGGGTCTCCAGTAGGAAACATGTGAGAGGCAACCACACACTGATGTTTCTCTCTCTCTCTTCCTCCCTCCATTCTCTGTCCAAATATAAATAAATAAAATATTTTTTTTTAAAAAAGCACTGGTGAGGTATTAAACATTTATCCTTTTGGGGTTTTTTCTTAATAGACTTTATTTTTTGGAGCATTTGTATTTACAGCATAATTGAGAGGAAGGTACAGGGATTTACCATATGCCTCTGGCCCACACACACAGAGCCTCCCTCTTCTCAACATCTGCCATCTGACTGATACACTCCTCCTAACTGATGAGCCTGCGCAGACACATCATCACCACCCAAAGTCCATGGTTTACCTTCGAAATCACTCTTGGTGTTGTACATCCTGTGGGCTTGGACGAATGAAAATGTCATAGACCAAGTAGTGTATAGTATAGTATAGTATAGTATAGTATAGTATAGTATAGTATAGTATAGTATAGTATAGTACAGTATAGTATAGTACAGTATAGTATAATACAGTACAGTATAGTATTAGTACAGTGTATAGTGTATTGTAGTATTAGTATAGAGTAGTGTAGTGTAGTGTAGTATGTGATACTACAGTAACAGTTTCACTGCCCTGACAAATCCTGTAATCTACCTATGTGTTCCTCCCTTCCACCAAGCCCTGGTGACCACTGACGTTTTTACTCCATAATTTTGCCCTTTCCAGAATGTTATATAGTTGGAATCATATTATGTGACCATATCAGATTGGCTGTCTTTTCACGGTCGACAGCTCACTTCTCCTCAGTGCCACAGAATCCACTGTCTGGTGAACCACAGCTTATTTACCCAGTCACCTACTGAAGGACATCTTAGTGGCTGCCAACTTGTCAATTATGACGAAAGCTGTTATAAATACCCACATGCAGGGTTTTACACATTAAGTTCAGACCTCGTCTGAATAAATACCAAGAAGCACAATTGGTGGATTACATGGTAAGGGCATGTTTCGTTGGATAAGAAACCGTCCAACTGCCCCCAAAATGCCCATACCACTCTGCACTCCCGCCCGCGGTGCAGGAGGGCTCCTGTGTCCCTGCCTCCTTGTCCGCATCGGGCCTTGCGTTAGATTTCGGCCTTCCTACAGGTGCCTTGTGGTACCTCATTACTTAATTTTCATTCCCCTGGTGGCATATGTGAAGCATCTTTTCACTTGCTTACTTAACATCTGTGTATCTTCTGCAATATCGCACGTGTTAGGGTTCGTTGTGTTTTCATGGAAAAAACTTTGTTCCAGTGTAAATATTTTTCCTAATACTTTTCTGTAGTGCTTAATTTTTTTAGTGACATTTCATATTTATGAGAAAAATAAAGTGAAAGAGAACAATGATTTAAAAAATACAGCATTGGAAAGAGAAGGGACTGAGAATGAAGTTAGCTGCTTTTCTCGGCTACCCCCCCCACTACCTTATGATGTTAAATAAACATGACTTTCACAACTCTCCTAAGGAGAAGAATCTGGTCGAAATTATACAACATGTCCTACCTATTTCCTTTACTCGGCACCACTTAATGTATTACAGAACAACTGTTTTTAAGTCAACACAGGAGACTCACCCTGGCTGATGCAGCTCAGTGGGTAGAGTGCCAAGCTGAGAATCAGTGTCCCAGGTTCAGTTCCCAGTCAGGGCACATGCCTCTGTTGTGGGCCAGGTCCCCAGTGTGGTATGAGTGAGAAGCAACTGATGGACTTTCACACAATGATGTTTCTCTCCTTCTCATTCTCTCTCCCTTCCCTTCTCTGTATAAATAAATAAAAAACCTACCCCTGGCAGGTGTGGCCCAGTGGATTGAGTGCTAGTCTGCAAACCAAAGGACCATCAGATACCATTCCTAGCGATGGCACATTCCTGGGCTGTGACCCCATCCCCAGTAGTGGGCGTACAAAAGGCAACCACACACTGATGTTTTCCCTCCTTTTCTCCCTCCCTCTGCCTCTCCCTATCAGTGAATAAATAAAATCTTTTTTAAAAATCTAAAGGTATATTTAAAAACCAAAGTAGGAAACAGCACAGTTTCTTAATATATTTAATACATTCTTGAGACTTCAAGTGAAAAACATATCACTCATGCTACAGGTTTTCAATCTTCCTTGGACAACACAAAAACAGTGCTCAAACTGCATGTTTTAACAAGAAGAACATGAAATCTCATTTTGACACAACACAGGTTAAAAACAAAGTAAAACCAACACTGAACTAATCCAGCACCAGCAGATTTCATAATCCCCAGCCCACCCCACTCCGGAGCTCGGACAGCTGCCTCCTGCACCAGCATTTCTTCTTCCCTGCCCAACTA